TGCTATACATATAAAGTTATTACGCTATGGTTCATCTTAGGGAGCTGTGATCCGCTCCAGGATCCATACTCTCATACGGTTAAAATAACGCCAACAGCTTGGTATGAAAGCATCAGATGGAAACATAAATGGGTTAAAAGCAGCAGGCGAGGGGTGTGATGAAATTCAGAAATATGGCGGCTAATAAGACCCTCCAGGCGAAGTGGGAATAGGTGCCCAATCTTTATCCCCATCCAATAGGAAATATAGGATTAAACATTTATTTTTAACCAGTAATTGTAAAGAAATATTTACAAACACTAAATTATGGAATTGGCTATAGTTGCACCTTTTTTTTAACATTCGGCCAGCAGTTTTTGTTTGCATGTCCAAGCGTTGGCTTAACATATTAGTCAACTAATCCTTTGACGCACGAATTGATGAGTCATTTCAATTTTATTTTTATTGAATTTGTATGTCCGTTGTCTTTAAGACCAGAAATCAGTGTTTGTTAAATCACCAAAACAAACTAAAAATACATCTGTTTAAAGTTCTTCTATGATTCATATCTGATGTTTTCTGTTGTTGATTCAGTTTTCCGTGTTATACTTAGGACTAAGCTTCTTCCAACAGCCGTTCTTTTCCAGTCTTGGTAATTTCAAGCCTCAATTTTTCATAATGTCAGCTATCAGCGGGACAAAATATATAGTAAATGAGATTTGAACATGTCTGTGATTAGCAAATTTCAAGCTACCAAGAAAATCAAACTAGAATACAAAAGAAAATCCCTTAATTGTCTCCCTGGATGACTGAGAATCTTCACCAGCGTAGTTCTTAAAGACACTCAATAAAGGTGGCATTTTATCAGAAACTGTAAAATAAGAAAAACAATAAAAACTAAAACTACTGTGACTAATTCTGGTCATATCTGGTGCTTTTCCTCCCCCCATTTACTGCTCTATGTCTTGTGCAATTTGCAGGGCTTCATAGAAAACGTTGGGTAACACTTACTTCAGGAAGTTATGATTGCAGAAGTGGGTTTAGCAAACAGTTTTTGTGAGAAAAAAACTACTTTACTGCACTTAAACCCATTCAAATGCGTATTTGATGGTTTATGAACAGCCCGGATTACATTAATAAAAATGTCCGTAAAAGACAAGTGTTTTTATCCCCGCTAAAACAATTTCTAAGTGGAAATTCTCAGGAATTTGATCTAAAAAAAATATATATGTATATGTATATATATATATATGTAGCTATGTGCTAGTATAAGCTCTATAGCTGCTAATAAAGCACTAATATAGCTGCCTCTGATCAGATATCTTAAACAAATGAAAATGTCCGGTTTTGTTTAGGGACTTATGCCTTGAAACAAATACGACTTGTCTTATTCCTCCTTTTTTCCTTGATTAAAAGGTAGTTAAGTAAAGGCAAGGGGAATGTAGTAGTTTTTTTTAACTCTAGTTTATTTTATTACTTTTACATCTCAGATTTTAAACAAGAGGTTCTGGTTCTGATATAAAGCTTAGAAGTAAAATGGAAATCAAAGCCAATCTAAATAAACATTAAGAGTTGGTTCTAATGTGTGCTCAGCTACTCAACAGGTGGTTTCTTTCATAAAATGATTTTAATGAGTAGAGTTTCATTCAAAATTCCCACTTTAGTTGAACTCTGGAATGATAAACATTCAGAGGAAGAGGTGGGCTGAATGAAGTGACCTATTCTCATCAAAACCAGTCCCAAGTGTGGCTGTTAAAATCAGGGCTTTAAGCTGAGAATATTCTGAAATCACCTTAAATTTGACAATTTAAACCAGGAGCTTGTCACTTCAAAAATTTTATTTTTTTTTATCATTTTAATAGAATTTTTTAATGGTATTTGGAATCATTCCCAGCTGATTTTTTTCGTGGTTATTACCCATATATTTTGTATAAACCTGATTTTTAAAAAGCCCAAATCTTCTTTTTAATACTTTTTGGTTATTTTCTTTATGTTGATCATTCTGTGCTTATGCTACATCCAACCTCAGTTGCATTGTTGACCTGCTGGGCTGGCAACATTTCTCTTTGCATTCCAACAGCCGCAACTGCATTAATACAAGCAAGTCCAGACTGGCTGAAAAAAGCATGTGACTTTATTCTCAGGTGTCTCTTTAAAAGTTTCCTTCCTTATATTTGCTTTTATTTATATCCATTATTGAAAAAGAAAAAAGCATATTTTTGACATTAGGTTGAAACAATTCAACAGATTAATAGTGATGAATGACTCAATAAAATAAATGCCAACTTATTTAATAATCTTTAACTTGAGTATAGAGAATCTAAGACATAAATCTATCTGAAAGAACAACCAACTTAAAGCAGTTATACCAACATAAAATATATATATATATATATATAAAATCTTTGCATTCATGATAAAAATAAAAATAAATTTGTCCCCTAATGGGCTCTATTCTAAAGGGCATTTTTTTTGCCAAGTTCTGTCTAAAATCTTCTTTAAAGAAACTGTGGCCATCAGTTCATTAATTTAAAAAAGAACTGGCGGATTAAACAATTAAAAAAAGTTGCTTGGTGCAGCCAGCTGTGACACCTTTACGAAGCCATCAAGAATCTTTTATTTTCATTAGCGCTTACGGATTCTTCTAGGAAAATTTAGGACATAGATTGTCTAGGAATGGAGCAACTAATTGGATTTATTGTCAGCGAGTTTAGAAATTAAGCAATCATTACTAGAAGTAACAGACTCTAGTGTCAGGCAATAGGTACTAGAGATTTTATCACAACATTGGGTGATATTATCCTGATAATCATATGCGATGATTAGAAAAGTATGATTTATACCATGAATTGTCTGAACGTAACTGAATTCAATCATATTTAAATTTGTATATGCTGCACTGAAAAATAAATTGAAGACAAGTATGAAAAACACCAACACATTTAAATTAAAAAATAATTCACCTTCAATTCAAAATTATTGTTTAGACAATAAACCCAAATTTTTTCTATGACTAGAAACTTATCAAGATACAATAAATGCCCAGCCCTAATTTAGACTCTGAAAATACCTTAAGACGAACTTCACAAAAAAAGCCCACATGCATACACATTTTGCATTTAAAAACAATAAAAAAAAATTATGTAAAGAGGCTCCATCTCAACTCATCAGGTGGTAATCCTAAAAATCAAACATTTTTAATGTGTTCTAGCTAAGTATAATGCTTCTTAAATATGCAATATATATTTCACCTTCAACAATTGCTTATTGACGCACATTAGATTATAAAGATATCTTTTTTAGGTGATTCAGAGACAGATGATCACTAAAACCATTAACTCCCGAACTCCAACTAAGAAATTAGTCAAAAATTATGAATTTTGAAGACATGGACAGCACTTTCAACTAACTGCATGAAAATTTGACCCATCAGATTAGTTTGCTTTTAAAGTCAGAGCTTATATGTGGGAATGACTTCTTTAACAAGCTGAAAAGTGGGACTTATTAAGTGTTAATCCTCACTATTTGCAACACAAATCCATACCATGAGAATAAACACCAATGTTGCACAAGAGTAGGGCTGCAACTAATGATTATTCTGCAAATCGATTAATCTGTCCTTTATTTTTTCAAAGAATCAATGAACATCTCTAATGTGTTTTATTTTCCTATCTGTTATTCATAAAAACTTTAAGGTGAACATTGTGTGACCACTTCTACTATAACCTTTGCTGCTATAAACACCACAATTTCCCCATTGTGGGACAATAGAGGGATTTTCTATTCTATTCTAATCGGATAGCAGAAGGGTCCTTAAAGAAGACTTCTGATAAATTAAGCCAGGTGTAACTAAAACTTTTCCATTTGCAGAGTTCTGGATAGAGCATATTGACAGTTGAAAACCTTTTTTATCCTATGTGCAAAATGTTTACTTATTTTTTTTTTTTACAATTTTGATATAATTACTGCTCTATTCTGGTTGCTCTGTCAGCTACAGGCATGTTGTAGAGTCTCTATAAGTAAAAGATTAATCAATAACTAAATTAGTTGATCATTATTTCAACAATCGACAGATCACGATTAATTTAATTGTTTCACTGGATTATGCATCATTATCCAAGCTTCAAGTTTAAAGAAATCCAAAATACCACATGTAAATAAAAAAAAAAAGCTAAGAGACTTCCAACCTGAGGGGAAACACTGGCAAGTTTCGACAGTAACTTCAACAAATCTATCTTTAAATGCAAAATCAATGTATTCTACAAGTTAAAAGCTTGAACACAACACACTATAATAATTGAAAAGAACAATCTTACATTTTAAAAAACGAAATAAGAACAAAAGTGGTTGATCCACTTACAAGTTGAGTAACTTCGTTTTTTTTCTGCCCAAACACCATAAAAAAAAACCTTAAGAAATAAAACTTCCTAAACAAGCGTAGCTTTTCTTTTCCATTTAAATTAAAGCAACAACATTAAACTAAAAAAACATATTTGCGACTTCAGCCTGTTTAGCTCGTATCTTAAACAATTAAAAGTGTAATAGTAAAGCTAAAGCAAGGTCACCAGGGCTGAGAAACTACTCTATAATCAAATTCAAATAGCTGCGATTTAAAACCTTTAACCCTGTTAACGGACTATGGAAATGATAATACTCATATAACTCAGTAAAAACCATTTAAAAACATAGGAGTAAAACGCTTCCTAACGACGGTGAGCGTTGACATTAGCATTCCAGCTACACAAATATTTCCATTCAGGCTATTAAGCTAATTACGGTAAATTTAAAATGTAGGAACGGTTGAATCGTTAAATGTACGCAACGCGCGTTAGAAAATATCCAATAAAGGTTTCCCAAATTTGCTACCTAAACTAGTTAAGTTATGCAGTTTGCTCGTAAAGGCCTTGGCGTGTAGGTTCAAATGACACCAGATATGATGGCGGAGGGGGCGGACTGTTGGGAACCTGACTCCCCGGCCTGCTCCGCCGAGCTGCCCACGATCACCTTCCATTAGCATTAGCATACCCATGCTATTTAATTTTTTTTGCAGAAGTCCGCTGATAAATATAAAAGAATGCTGATATTTAAAATACTTTTCCAGCGGTGGAAACAGCGTAGTGAAAACAGGCCTCATGGCTAAGGTTAGCTCCCTGCTAGCTTGCAATGAGCAACGGTTGCTTACCTTCAGACTGCTGCTCTGCACGGCGCTTCTACAGCCGATATATGGTATGCATTGGTCTTTTTAAACACTGTAAACGTATTCATTCGACAGAATATTACTGAGGAAAAATAATCTTGCTCCGCGTTATTATCTGTAAATCTGTTTTTTTTTATTTCCGTTTTTTTTCTTCTTTCCCTCGCCTCCAACGGTCGCTCAGTGTGTGTGTCTGCTGGCTCCGAGTCGCTGCTGCTGCTGCTGCTTTTCTCTTGTTGTTTGTGTTTCAGAAAACATGGCCGCCCGTGTGACACCACGTGACCCGAACATTGACAAGCGGAGAGCCAATGTCGGCGCAGCGCAAACACACCCCTGTTTACCAGCCTGGGTACTATGAGGACTGCTCTAAATTGCTTCTGTTTTTTGTTTTTGTTGTTTTGTGTTGTTATTTTTAATGGATTCTATTAATAAACCAGCCAACTTTAGAGAGAGGCCAGTTTATTTCCTTTGCATTTGAAAACCAGAACGTCCGGCTCGCGAGGTAGCAACGTGTTTTATCGCGAGAGGATAATACTTTTCCGCTATAGTTATTCTCATAAAGCTGCATGTTTACGCCAGGAAAAATTCTTAAAATACTATATGAATATTTGGGTAATTATGGTAGTTCGTTGTAAGTTTCGAGGCTACAACTGACTGCAAATGTGCATAGTGACCACTAGAGGGGGCCTTTTTTCATAGATTTAGTAGCGTGGATCATAAAGCCTTCATTCATTCATCTGGTTGTTTATTTATTAAGAAAGCGCTTAAAACACTAGATCAAAACTTTAACAAGAAAACTGCGAAAAAAAACTACCCACATTTAAAGTATAAAATATGATTCATTAAGTTAAAAAAAGTAAATTTGTGTAGAAATTAACATTATAGAATAGGAAATCCCTTTATGTCCCACAATGGGGAAATTCTGGTGTTTACCGCAGCAAAAAAGGTCA